CCAAAGAAATTAGCTACTACTGTACTTTCATTTATAGTCAAATAACTTTTTGGTAGACCTGAGTTTTTAGCAAGAGTTTTACCAGTTAGTTTTACCAAATTAATTGAAGTCACCATAGAATGTCTTATTTAGAATAATAATTGTCTTAGGAATTATTACTGATGGTAATAAAAGTTAACCAAAGCTTCTTTTCTAAATTCAAAACAGTAGTTGGAAAACCTTGGTTGTGTCAAAATGGAACTTATATTTAATATGACTATGTCCATATTTTGAAGTGCATAAGAAGCATTTGGCTGACAGAAAAACTAGGTCAGTTGCAGTTTATTTATAATGAAATAACTTACTTATAGCAAATAGGAGAGATTTTGTTAATACACTTATATACACTTGAAAAAACCTTATTATTACAGATATCTAAGTTGACTGAACATCAATAAATCCTAAAGCAATAGAACGACAAAAAGTAAGCACTTTTTTACAAGTATTTAGCGAAGAGACAGTTGCAGCTCTAAAAAATCATCCTAAAAAATAACCAAGAAAGTGTCAAGGGTACTACTATTTATTTGGAGTTGATTATAAATTTTCTGGAAAATAGTAAATGTTAAATGTCCTGGTTAATCTCAGATATAGGGATGAGTCTTGTAATCAGATCTTCAGATGACATTAACTTAAAAAAATTGCTGGCTATTACAACAATGGCTGAAAATATGAAACCAACATCTGGTAAACGAGTTCACAAGCTTACAAGAGATATAAGCAATGCACTTTAACATACTTGTTGTGGCCTACTTGATTTGTCTTGCTATACTTTATCAAGTGGAAATAAATATGTAATTTTAGGTTGTTTTTTTTCTGATCTGATTGAAAAATTATGTCAAGGATCAGGTGGTACTTATTTTATAACCACTAAGTCAGTTATTGAAAAAGTACGTATTCAGCATGCTAAGCTGGTGTTGCAGCTAAATATTGATGTAGAAAGTAATGACCGACATGACTGTCTTGAAGATTTAGATGATAGGGAAATTAATATTATTTACAGATTAGCAGATCTAGAAGTATAAATATAAATTTATAAATTTAAAGTATAAATATTGAAATTTTATATTCTATTGTCTATATTGCTAGTTATGTACAAAAATGTTCCTCTGAAGAAATTAGAGTCGATACAACTACATATTATAAAAAATATGGAACTTATTTGAATGTTTTAAATAGGGGAAGACTAACTATTCCATCTGATACTTTATCTCAATGGTCTATATTTTGCTACATATTTTTTTCTTTATTAGATAAAAAGAAGTTTGCAGAACATTTTTGATTTGACAGTTAACTTATTGCTGAGTTGTACAGATTTTCTATTTCAAAGAAACAATGCCAAACACTGGCAAAAAAAAACTTTGAAAGAACTTTGCATTACTTCACACTCACAAAAAAATAAAGAAACTAAACTCAAAGAAATTAGGCTTATGTAAACGTTTTTTTTTTCTATTTGGTACAAAAAAAAATTTATATTAAAAATCTTAATTAAAAATGTTTTTACTTAACTTCATTTGCAATAGTAAATTAAGAATTTTCTCAAACAGACTGTTAACTATTTGTGTGTTCAATCTTAGCAAAGCAGATTTTTTGCTAATCTGCCTTTTTTTTTTTTTTTAATTGACCTTCAGTCAAAAAAAAAAAATATATATATATATATATATATATATATATATATATATATACATATATATATATATACACATATATACATATATATATATATATATATATATATATATATATATATATATATATATATATATATATATATATATATATATATATATATATATATATATATTGTGATTGAGTCATTGCAGACTGGAAAATGATGATTAAAAGTTTTTTTAAAGCTGTTTAGAAAATGGAGGGGCTAAATTTTTTTAATGCGGTAGTGGTGTAGTGGTAGAGGGCTCGCTTCATAAACAAGTGGTTCCAAGTTCGATCCCCACCACGTCCCTAGTAGTACCGTGCTCAACTTGTTTCTCTGCGCAGCAGCCTTGTTCCTCAAGGTTCCTGTTTCTGAGTTATAGAGTTGAGAGAGGGTTATAACCACAAATAAGTAGCCTCCTCGTCTGTAGTGGCCTTCTCGGCCTTGAGGAGGTGAATTAAAATAAAATAAAAAATGCAGTGTCCCCCTCCCCCCCCAGTGTTTTAGTCTGCTCCCTGTTCCTACGCCAATGTATATATATATATATATATATATATATATATATATATATATATATATATATATATATATATATATATATATATATATATATATATATATATATATACACACATATGTATACATTAAACTTAACTCAAAAAAATCTTTTTTTATAATAACAAAATGCTAAAACTTAACTAGTTTTCAAATAGGTTTTTAAAATGTTCTCAACATTATGGTTGTCTTGTTTTAATGAATTCTCAATGTTAGCATCCTATTCTGTCACAGCTAATTTTTTTTCCCTTTAAATGCATTTCCTTATGTTTGATTGCACAATAAAATATTGCCTTTTAATAGTCTTGACAAAGAAAGTAAGTCTTTATTAACAATAGAAATTCCATTTGTGAAATTTTTTTAAACAAAAAACTTTCTTTCCTAAAATAAAAGAAAGTCATTTCTTAAATGGTTACATTGTTTTTGCCATTTGCTTTTGGAGAGATTTATGTAATTAAAAAACTGTATTAGAGAGATTTATTAACAAATTGTATTGGATTTATGTTGTTAACAAATTGTATTGGACAGATTTATGTTATTAACAAATTGTATTGGACAGATTTATGTTGTTAACTAATTGTATTAGAGAGAATTATGTTAATAACAAACTAACAAATTGTATTAGAGAGATTTGTTATTAACAAATTGCATTGGAAAAACATTAATGCGGTAAGATATTTTTGGGAAAAAAAACTATTGCCTAAAAATATAATTTCGATGCATTTAAGTAGTCCTCATAAATAATAAAATTTTTTACAAATAAAACTAAAAAAAAATAAAGTTAATAAAATAATAAAGTAAAAATAAATCATGTAAAAAAATTATTGTATAACTTTACAAAGAAGATAAGGGAGAAACAAGTTGACTTCCATGGCTAAATTTCCAATAATATACATTTACAATTGATTAATACTAATTTTATCTCATAGATCTTTACTTTTTATTTAAAATTTTATTTTAATGTAATTAGGGAAAGACGGGGAACATTCAACCATGGGGAACATTCTACCTTTTCAAATATTTCCCAACATGATAAAAATTACCACTTGAAACTTTTATCCATGTTTTGTCTGTTAATAAGTATGGATCCATCTTTATTAGTATTAGTACTTATATAGAAAAAAATCTAATTTTTGATGCAAAAGGTAATTTTTTTATGTTTTAAATAACCTCTTTTCCAATTTTAACCTCCTAAACTTTTTTGTTGTTTATTGTTTAATATCTTGAGTTAAAAACCTTTGTGTTTGGTTTACTTTAAAAAATTGATTTCCACTTTTAACAACGTTTGTTTATATATAACAAGTGTGGGGTCATTCAACCTACCTAGCTGGGGAACATTCAACCGGTGCTTGAAAATACTACAATAATTTATTTTTCTTATTTCTTAGATGCCTCAAAAATATGTAACAAAATCATATAGAAATAAGAGAAATGAAAATGTGGTATTAGAAAAAAATACTAGTATTTTCAATAATTCACTGTCTGAACTACAAGCCGCAAAAAGATTTCATGCCCAGATATGTCACAAATAAAACTCTAATGGGAGAACCAAGTGAAAGTCTAGGGGTAATAGGTACATCACTACAAAATAATTTACCACTCTTATCTAATAGTCAAACACATTCCTCCTGTAACTACTAGAATAACTGTAACAATTAAAAACTGATTCTAGAACATGTGCGGCCCTTGCCTAAAGCTTCTCAAAGACAAAATAAATAAAGAGGAATTCAAGTCAACGATATATGCTAACACTCCTAAAAAGGAAAAGATTGAAAAACTTCATTTGAAAAAAATTTAAAAAAAAGAAGAAAAGTTATCAACCTGAAAAAAAACTATAACAAAGACAGAACAGAACTCCAAGAAAGACAACGTTATTTTTACTTCCATACAACTTCACAAATCTTGTTGTAAACAGCTATTACTATTTGTTTTTAAATATTTTGTGGAAAGTTTTTATTGTACAATATAACATTTATAAGAAAGAAAGCTTATATACTTATTATTTTGCTAGTAATGATATGTTTAAAAGTACTCCTCTAGGTGGTCGAATGTACCCCACCGGTGGGGTGCATTCGACCACTTTGAGGCTTACTTTTAAAACAGCGGTAGATTTAACAAAAATCAATATTTTATATACATTATCTTTTTAATTTGTTGGTTTAAGACCATTACTTGTAATGATAAAAAAATTTAAATGTTTTTGGTAAAAAATCATTTGTAAATTAATAAAAACCAGCTAAGTGGTTGAATGTTTCCCGTCTTCCCCTATATGAATAAAATTGTTAATCGAATTCTAAATTTTGTTTGAGGTTTAATATAAAAGAGTAGAACATAAAAAAAATTTAAAATATAAAGAATCATTTATTTAAGCATTTTTTTTTTTTAAGTTAGCCAATATACATAATTTTTTGAGTTGGCCAGTACACATAATTTTTTTTGAGTTAGCCAATATACATAATTTTGTATCTACAATTCAAGATAATACACAAATTTATATGTAATTATCAATATACACAATTTTGTATTTAATAATTGCTTCAGCAAATACCTTTAACAATATTCAATCCAAAAATTTATTAGTATAAAATAAGAATGCTTTTAAAAGCAAATACCTTTAAAAATATTCAATCCAAAAATTTATTAGTATAAAATAAGAATGCTTTTAAAAAAAGCTAATTTTATAAATTTTTAAATTTATAAACAAATTTGTATAATTTATACAAATTGTTAAGTGCAATTTGTAAAAATTACTTACATGTTCTTGGAATGGGTAAATGAGTACACCTTCTTCCTTAAGGAAACTTTTAATTTTTTGCAAAGAAGCTTCACTATGAATTCTTGCACCACAATAAACTCGATCATATTTTCTATTGTTATCCAAAAACAAAGCATTTCCCAATACAAATTCAGGTTCACAAAAATTAATACCATCAAAACCTTTACCATATTGCATAAATAAATTCACTCTATTAACTGCATACTCAATTACATCTTTGTGTATATCAACACCATGATTTATTCCTTTCGGACCTAACATTACACCAACTACAGTTGACAAATAGCCTGTTCCAGATCCAATATTTAAAAAAGATAAACCTAAATTTGAAAGATAAAAACCTATATATAAAAAAAAAAAATTATAAAAAATTTTCTAAACATTAAATCATAGCTTTGGTATAGAGTTATTATTACAGGAAATATATTCTAAGTAATTTTTAAGAAAATATTGAAATTAATCATAAGTCTATGATTAAAATAAATAAAAAACAGAACTAATAGCTAAACAATATGTCATATTAAAAACAGGTTCACCCTTGTCAATAGATCAATTAATAGATAACATGGTTAATCACAGCAGAAAGTGCTAATAACTCAGCTCTAGTCAAAAGCCAATGCCAACTCCAAAACTTAATCTAAAAAAATGTTTTTAGTGTGATGGGGCATATGTGTTATTGCAAATTGGGATTTGCTTATTTGCCAACCAATAAAACTCTCACTGCAGAGATCTATTGTGCTAAAAGAAAAGCTTAAGCAAAAACTCTTAATTTATTTTCCAGAACAACAAAAAACTTGCTTTCTACATGACAAAACACAACTATATATTGCAAAATAAACTTTGGCAAATTTGGAATTTAACTGGGAGATATTACCTTAAATAAATAGTAAATGTAGTTGCATTTACCAGATTTATTGATTATTACTTGGTTTTTTTTTAAAAGCAATGATAAACAAGGTAAAATTTTTGAAAACAAGATCAAACTCAAAGCACATCTGATTTTAATATTTTTTGCTATGTCCAAAGAGTTTCATTCACAGTTCATCCATTCTTTGCATACACATTGGAAACAGTCATAGACATTAATAGAGCATATATAATTGACTAAGCTTTTTTACTTTTTTATTAACAAAATATTAAAAAGAAAAGTGACTAATTATTTTTGTTAACACCCATTATTTGTATAAAATATAAAAACCACAAAAATATTTGTTCCATTGACAAGCAGCTTACCAATATAACTTCTGCTTGTTGTATTGCAATAAAAGATGTTTTGAATTGACAGTATAAAAAAAAGTATATAAAAAGAGTTTCTTCATTAGACAAATATAATTTTTTTGAGCATGCAGAAACAGATACAGTAAAAGGATGCAATTTTACTGAATGACAAGTCAAGCCAGAATGAGTTTTGGATGATGGAACTAGAGATGATAGCTTCTTTGAGCAGCAACCATGATAATAATTGTAGAAAAGAGAAGTCAACATATAACAATCTCCATGACTGGCATTAATGTCACGAGCTTGTATCTGAGAAAAAGAAATGTCCAAGTGTTAAATATCTAGTTTTTAAGTGGAATCCATAGAATCTTATAAAAAAGATTCCATAGCTCAACCTTACAACAATAGGTAAGTGGTTCATGCTTAGCAGATAAAGCTTAGCAGATAAATACATTTAAAGTAAGTTTTTGGACCTAGTCTAGAAGAGAAAAAGATTTGTAGAGGTAGAGAATGAAAACAGAAGTAAGAAAATGGTAAGCATGGTAAAGAGAAGCAATCTTAGTAGATGCTTACTTTGTAATCAATTGTATATAGGCTTCCATGAGAAGTTAGTAGTAAGTAAGAGTCACTAGTGAGAGGTCAGTAGTGAGGAAGAGAACTCAGTGAGAAGGTTGCCATTCTTTGATATAGGAATCTCAACAGTATTGCAATAGTTGTTTGCAGTAAATTTATTAAAGAGTTTTGTTGGAGATAAAGTTCTCAAGCCACTGCAAGCCCTAGGATATCACAGAAGTGAGATCAGATTCAGACTGCCTGTTCTAATCAATCAAAAAATGAAGATTTTTTGTCATGACAGGATTATATATATAAGAAACAACACAGGACTAAAAATAGAACCATGAGGTACCCCAGAAGAGTGGAATTAGAAGAAAAGTTCTGTGTCAATAGTTCTGCCTTATCCTTGGGAGAGATAATAGGATTTGACCTATAAATTAAAATGTTTAATTTACCTTTGTTAATGATGCTGTTAAAGATTTCCTAAAAGCCTCTAGAGCCAAACTTTTGAGATAAGATACAAGATTTAGTAAACTGGGAGTAACAAAGTTTAGCATCAGACAGCACCATTTTACATTGATTTCTTACAATAAAAAAAGATATTTGTTCTCAAGAGAGTTGAGAGTCAAGAGAGTTCTTTTAAAAAAGATGAAAAAAATGATTACGATAAAATATAGCAGCTGCACAAGAAAACTATGGAATAGAATGAGGTTTGACTTGGAACCAACAAGAAGAAATAAAAGCTTCCGTACCTGCTGGATTCAGGAGATTCGGAGAGAAAAGACATCAGCCCAAGGACCGTCACAAAAAAATCATGATAAGAATCTTAGTCAGCTTTATCAGTAGTAAGTGACCAGGGCCCCGGCCCTGGCTAAAAGAGACTTTTTTCAAACCCGGCCTGGCTAAACTATAAGATTTAGCAGGGGTTGATAGAAAAAAATTTATAATACTTTATTAATTATAATTTTATGCTTACATTTACTATTTATTAAATACATAATTTATTTATTTTTAAACTCTAATTTACTTCCAACAAGATTGCAAGCAACCACTACTAAGAATAAGTAAAATACTAGGAAATGGTTAACTGAAGACTTGAAAAGTTGTAGGTTGTATATAAAAGAAAAACATAAAGATGGCTAATAGTTATAAGGTTTTTTTGATGTGCAAGGAAAACTGGATTAATAAAAGTTTTTGTATCATGAAGGGACAAATACAGTAAAAGTATGCAACTAGTTGAATAAGAAACAAGCAAGAATGAGTTTTGGTTTATCATAATAGAGATTATAGCTTGTTTGAGCATTGACCATGATTACATTTGTAGAAAAAAGAAAGAAATGCAACCTTACAACAATAGAAGACTGGCTCAAGCTTGGTAGATAAAGCAGGTCTAATTACATTTACAATGTGCTTTTAGAATTTGTCTGAGGGTAAGTCGGTTGTTATTTATCAATATAGGAATGCCAACAATATTGCAATATCTTTTTGCAGTAAATAAATGAGTTTTGTTGTCTAACAAAAGTTGTGGATTTTACAGACTTAAAATCCACAAGCCACTGCAAGCCTTAGGCTGTTACAGAAAAAAGTGAAGACTTTTAGTCAAGAGAAGAGTATTAAGTTGAGTCGTCAGGAAATAAAGCCACAGGAGCAAAGGTAGAACCTTGCGGTATCCTTAAAGTTACTTAGAATAAAAAAGATGGTAGGGCTTAAATAAAAAAAACTTTACTACTGCAGTTAGAAAAAAATCATAAGATAGTAAAAGCTAATTGTAGGATAGTCGGAGAGGTAAAAGTGTGTTCTAGAATTTTGAAAAATTAGAACTACTTATTTAGAACTCTTTAAAATTTACCAATAATTGAGAAGAGTTCTGGTGAATTCTTTTTAAAGATTATTCTAATGAGAAGTAAAAAGATCAGAACTAGAGATTAAATTAACCAAAAGTCTCTGGAACCTAACATCTGAGATAAGATACAAGATTTAGTAAACTGAGAATAACAGGAATTTTTTTTAACATTAGCTTTTTGCAATAATAAAAGGACATTTGCTCTTAAGAGAGATGTTTTTGTAAAAAAGATGAAAAAAATGATTGTTTAATAAAGCAAATGCTCAAGATGGTGAAAAATGTGAAGTTGAATGAGGCTTGACTTAAAATTGAAGAGGAGTAATAAAAACTTCCAAAAATTTATTCCAGAAGGAATAAAAGCTTCCAAGATGTACTTTATGCATACATATTATGGATATAAACATATCTGTTTGCTATTATAATAGGTGCAGGCATACAATATCCTTTTATTGTTATATAAACTTTAGTATTTATATGGAATAATATTTGCCAAAAGAACAGACAATCAGATGGATGTGTGGTGTGACTCAAGCAAGACAGAAAAAGAAGGCATAATCTTAGACAGATTCGAAAAAACATTTTATCCAACAAAGTTTATTTCAAAAGATTAAAATAATTTAGGTATCAGCATGTAAAGAGGTACCAGCTTCAGTAGAAAATGGTAGCGGTAGTAAGAAAACATGAAGAGAGTGCTTTAAATATTGTATTAATGAACTTTAGTTAAGAAAAAAAAAATGCTCTAGATTGTTTATATTAGAGAAACAGCATAAAAGAGGAAGGTTAAAGGTTTGGAAACTGATGATGATGATCATAATCATAATCATGATGATCATCATGATGATGATCATGATCATCATAATGATCATCATGATCATGATCATCATCATGATCATCATGATCATCATCATCATGATGATCATCATAATCATCATGATCATCATGATCATGATGATCATCATGATCATCATTATCATTTAGTATTCCTATTTTATGCTGTTGATGATGATTGTGATCATGATGATAATGATGATGATGATCATCATCATCATTATAATCATCATGATAATAATGATGATTATGATAAGCATGTTGATCATAATGATGTTTATATATGCATAAATAAATATACAAAATATAACATGATTTTTAAATAAAAAAAATATACTCAAGGATGTATAAATGTTTATGAATTCTGGTCACAAACCTGGCCCTGACGATATTTTATCAAACCCAACCCCAGCCCCATCAAATATCAACCCCGGGCGTTTACTATTTATCAGCGTCATCACTCAGAAGCAAGTAGTGCAATGATAGAGTGAGTCCAAAGAAGTACGAAATGAAAGATTTATAGAGACTATTGCATGGTCTGAACCACCTAAATGAACAAGGAGAAACATAACACAAGCTAAGTTCAGAGACAAGATACAAATCAAGGAGTAAAGGTAAGTGATTAGAATTGTCAGGAAAATGAGTCACAAAGTTAACTACCTGAGTAAAAGATTAAAAATACAATACCAATACTGTAACAAGATATACAGTTATATATATATATATATATATATATATATATATATATATATATATATATATATATATATATATATATATTTATATATATTTATATATATATACATATATATATATATATATATATATATATATATATATATATATATATATATATATATATATATATATATTTATATATACATATATTTATATATATATATATATATATATATATATATATATATATATTTGTGTGTGTATAGGTGTATAAATATATTTTAAAAACCTGATTTTATTTCTAAGTTTTCTATAACTTCACAATATATTGTAGCTGCAGACATGTGCAGGTTCCCTCCTTTAAAAGCAAAGTCAATATATGCATCTTTTATTAAACCTGGATAAAAATCTCCTCTATCAACTTTTCGAAATGCATTTTCAACTTCTTTGGATTTAATAAAATTTCCTTCAACAAGATTGTCTACTAAATGATCATTACTTTCTCCTGGAGGAACTACACCACCCATTACCTTTGTATAAATTAACCATAACTTTTCTTACAATTTTATGAATATAGTTTTAAGCTATGAATAAAACTAAATAATAGATTATCATGCAAATGAAATATTACAATGAACTAAAATAAAAGATTCTAATTGATTAAAATGTTTTAGATTTATAAAAAAAATTGAAAAAATTTAAACTATGATAGAGATCAGAGATTTAAAATGAATTTTTTTTTTAAATAAATAATAAATTTTACAGACAAAACTTTTTTTGCTATCATTGTGAAATATTCTACTGACATCTTGTTATTAGATAAAGTATTTCTATTCTGAATTTCATAATTTTATACACTATATCAAAATAGCAGTATATAATGTACTTCTATTCTTACGTACTGTTATTTTAACTTTATTTCTAAAATAATTTTGGATTTTTTTACTTATTTTTACTATATTTTTAATTTTTAATTTATAAAAAAATGCGACAGAAAGTTGTTGTTATTATTTCAAAGTCTACTTTGGTTTGGTAGGAAATACAGAATCGTAATAATTTTTTTTTAAGCCAATTTTAAGCCTATTGCTTTTGTTTTATGTATTCAAGTGCGATTCTATGAATAAAATGAGGTGGGGCATTTTCTAAAAAAAGTATCAACTTTTTTTTTTTAAATAAAAAAAGATTCTTAAAACTTAAAATCACCTGACTGAAATGTATCAAATACCTGACTAACCGTCTATATTCCCCAAAAAAGCGACTATAATTTGAAAATTGCCTTCTTTGGGATGTTTTACACACTATTAGAATCGCCTCTGTATATACTAAAGTTAATTTGAAAAAATTTATCTAAAAAAATGTGATGAGACTAGTCCAAGATTGTATTTAAGCATGAATAGAATATTTTGGTTGAAGTTGATTTGGTAAACATTCAAGGTTTTTAATAAGGGCTTAGCATGGGTGAATTTATCTTTATTATAAACTAATTTTGATGCATGTTTTGGAATTATATAAAGAGTATTCAATTTGGATTTGTATATACTTGTCCATGTAATATTAGCACACGTAAGATAACTTTGTAAACACGTAAGTTATCTTACGTGTTTACAAAGTTATCTTACGAAGTTTTAGATTTTCTTGGGACAACATAGGATTAACTTTGTAGAGTATCCAAATATTTTTTGGTGTTTATTGTACTTATATGGGCTTTCCAAGACTTTTGTCAATAAAAATCCCAAGAAGTTTAGCTGTTTCTGATTTTTCGACGTTTACCTCGCCCATTTTTATTGAGGGAAGTATAGTTGGTATATTATTATTATTATTGCTATTATTGTTGTTATAATTATTGTTATTATTATTGGGTTTTTTTTTACCATTGTTGTGATTCTTATGTTTATTACTATAAATATTATTTTTATCATTATCATTACTATTTTTATAATTGTTACTAATTGTATCTATAAAGATCTGTATTTTTGGTGTTTACTTAAGATTAGTAAAATTACTATTTGTAAATATCCATGAAAATATTTTTCAAAATATGTATATATGATTGATTGATTTAATATTTTGTATTGTTTCTAATGTTGCATTCTTGGTAAATTTCATCCCACCTCACTGCCTATAGTATGTCTATAAACTGTTCAATAGTAAATTTATTAATTTTTCCTTTCTAGACTTTGATTTTAGAGTTATTAGCTTTTGCATCTTAAAAAAAAAGGAAAAGTGTATCGGAAAGTGATCGATATATGCCGGACAGCATCACTCATCATATGAAACTGTATGCCAACGACAGTAAAATTATAGGTATAATCGAGGATGAGTCGGATAGCATAACTCTCCAAGCTGACATTAAAAAGCAGTGGAATGATCGCATATTTGGCATACATGTATAACATAAATGCGTTTCAGCGTTGAAAAATGCAAAGTAATGTAATTTGGAGTTTACTGTACAAGCCTAGTCACCGCACTTAAAGTTCGACATCGCCATCCTAGAGCAAGTTCAATATTGAGCGACAAAAACGGTATTATAACTCAAACACTTGTTGTATGAAGATTGACTTAAACGGCTAGGTCTGATTACTCTTGAAAAACACTGCATCGACTTTATTGAGCAATTTGAAATCATGCATCAACTTAAACCAGTCGGCTTCTTTGTCCCTCAAAAACATTCAAATAGAACAATCACATATATCTTTAGAGAATATAACCATAAACTAGAACGCCAATTGGTACGAAATTGTTAAAAGCAAAATAACTTTTTTCAAACAGAGTTGTGGCCACATGGAATGCACTTTTGCAAGCAGCAGTGTACGTTACATCTGTCAACGTTGAAAAGACAGCATAGAAACTTTTACAGACACAATTACTGCTTTGACAACAATGTCTGTGTCTTCGTATTTGTCCGCATAGAGGGACCTGGTATAGCAACTTCATCAAATTATAAATAAATATTTATTGTATCTGTTTTTTGATTACTCAATAATAATAATTTTAATTTCAATATTCGTTTTAATTACACCTGATTTTAATGAAGAATCTTAAAATGAATTAGTCAAAATGTTGTCTATTGTAGTGGTTAAAGTTTACGTTAACCGGTTTGTTTATTATAGGGAAGATTTAGTGTTGAAGCATGTCAAACAAAATTTTGGCAATAGCACTTTTATTGCACTATAAACAGTTTAAGTTCATGTCTCCAATACAGAATAATATTTTGTGCCCTTTGTTATTTTTTAGAAATATTTGTTTTAGATGGTTTAATAAATATTTTATATCGCTTTCAAGCGGTATTTAACAGGTGGGCACCAGTATATTTTTTAACTTTTAGTTTGTTATTTCAACTGTAAAAACCTCCCCATACGCATTGTAAACCGAAAGATTATCTCTAGCTTTAGATGTCAGATCATTATATATCAATATATGATCAATATATGTCATAATTTGACCTCCTTTTTGAACTTTTTGCCTATAAGATATTAGTTTGTATTTCGGAATTAATCTTCAGAAACAAAATAGAAATGCAGTGCTTGCCGCATATTAGAGAACTTGCTGATTTAATAACAATACAGAAACATTTTATGCTGCGCAGATTTTCTGAAGTATTTATGCAGTGTAATTTATGAGGTATAATGAAGAATTAATGTTATTTCTTATGGTTCTTGTGACTATTTTCACTACAGGTAGTGCTTAAAGATCATTTTCAAAACTAAAACTAACAAAAACTCGATTGAATGAGGCAGGCTACCTGACTTGACTATTCTGTCTATTGAAAATTCTATTGTCAGATTGCAAGGTTAGAATTATTTTGTTCTCTCCACAAATCAAAAAAAATTGAGTTAGAACATTTTTTTTTCTTTTTCATTTTTACAAATAAATTAGTAAAAAAAATTAGTTTACTATTGCTGACATCAAAAAATTGTCGAAGTCTACTACGTCAAAATTGTCGAAGTTTTTATTTCAGAAAAACAACTTAAACTTTGAAGGTAAAATATGTAATTGTTCACATTAAAATGTTTTAACTTTAAAGAACAAACTGGTGCTAGTTTTGGTGTATCATCATGATAGCCAAGAAAAGTCAGATCAGTTTCTAAAAACTGATTTTACTGTTCTTGGCTATAATAATGATACATACAAATAGCACGAGCTAGTCGTCTCCTCCCACGTGAAGTAAAAACTAGGAAACGAAAGTCAGCACCTAAAACTTGGACATAGAGTGTGAGAAAATCAGCTATGACAATCTGGTCAGTCATATAAAAATAGAAAGAAAGAGAGAAAATGTTCTATGCAAGTCTATAACCAAAAAGAAAAAAAGTTCTTGTAAATTGATATGTGCACTAAATATCAATGATGAAAAACAAACACCTATACTTGCTGATTTTTGGTCCATGGACGACATGCATAAGAGATTCTACAGTCGAACCACTGAACGACTTCAGAAAAAACGTTATCAAAACATCACCGAAATAGTCATTTGTCCATCGCTTTCTTTTTCTGTCTACCAAGTAAAGAAATAGAATTTCAAACATTTTTCAGCTATTGCAGGCTATTTTAATTTTAAGCTTGTTCCCTATATTTATTTGGCATTCAGACCATGTATACTATAGAAAGTAACTTTCTGATGTTTGTTCAGATGTATGAATTAAGTCTCTAACAATCTACGAACTTTGTCATCTGTGATAACAACACCTCTGGGAGTTGTACTAATGACTTCTACCTTAAATCGGTGTGCTCAAATTTCAAATGATAAAGCCAATGTCCTTCAAAGTATGTTCAAGTACATGCCTGCTGTAGACGTTTCATTTAATAAAAGTATTTTAAAATAGTTTATTTTATTGTCAAAATATTTTTGTTTTAAATGTTATGTTGTTAAATGGGCTTCTTACTGAAATTTTATGTGTTTATTGGATAAAACAGAGGTGCTTGACCTGCTTAATTCATTCTTTAAGATATCTTTTTACTGTGCAATGTATTTCAGATGTTATGCTAAAGTTTTATTTTGTTGTGAAGATCTTGGTATATACTTTAGATAATATATTACTTATCTTCTCTGTGGTACATACTTTAGATGATATATTACTTATCTTCTCTGTTGAATTGAATTTTAGTCAAAATAGCGATTTTATGTAATTTGTATACTTGCGTAAAATAAGATTTTTTTTCAAATAAAACAGGTATATACCTTTACCAACTTCAATTGCCAAAATATACATTCATCTTACCACAATATATATATATATATATATATATATATATATATATATATATATATATATATATATATATATATATATATATATATATATATATATATATATATATATATAAAATTGTGATATGTTTTTTAACAGAAAATGGATATATAATAAAATAATATTGTATTTTATGAAAAAAGTGCCTATTACATTTTTCTATATCTAAGTCAAGGTGTAGTAATACACCTGCACTTTAAATATTTTAGAACAATTTCTTTTAAACTGTGGTAGCCTGTATGTAGCCTGTATGAGAAATTAGCACAATCTGTTTTTTTTTGTCGTTGCGTTTTTTATGTTATTCGGTCTGCAGGTACATTTAAAAGTTTGAACTTGATTTTCTCAGTTCGGTAAAACATGGATTGAGAACAAAATATTTCTGACCTGATACGCCACTGTATATCACATTATGCCGCTGTATTTCACGTTATCCATAAAAATTAAGTAATAACGTGACCTGATTGATTTTTTCATATTCAGTACATATAATTAGCACTTAGGTACATTCCTTAGATTTAAATTTGAAAAGTTTATGAAAGAAAATATTTTCTTTGAATACGGAAAGTTCATTTGTCTTTGGTTGAAGAAAAGCATTCCATTCAACACATCTACTATGTTGTATTAATCTGGTTATCAAACATTTAAAAATATCTCGATCATCAATTAAAAAATGAACTTTCACAAATTCTTGATATTAGAAATTTTTCTGCGTTCTTCTATTATGAGAACTCATAATTCCCTAAGAAATTATGACTAGTAACAAAATGAATCCTATTTTAAAAACATAAACTCTCTATAGAAATTTAAAGAACTAGTCTTTAAAAATGCTGGCGAGGCTTTACTTTAAACTGTCAAAGAAGCTTTAATTTTATTCTGGTCTTGTTTTTTATTTATTTTTATGTTTGCATTTAATGACGGCTTTTTGAGTGTGTATAAATTAATACACAATTTCGTATACATTTATTACGAATTTCGTAAATCAAAGTTTAGATATTTTTCAAAATTACTATATCTTTTTGAACTGATAATGGCAAAGCTTTATAAAAGTTTAAATATTTTTTATATAGATCAGCATATCTCTATAAAAAAAAGTCCTCATTTATACACCATGTTCTTCCCCCTCCTCCTTTTTATCATTTGCTTTTCATACTTCTCGTGTATATTCCAAGTAAAATCTTATCCGACAGCACTTTCCTTTGCGCCAGTTTATCGCGCAGAAAAACATTTTTTTTTGTTATTTTAGTATTGATATAACGCAGAACCTTTTATATAATAATAATAGCAGAACAGTTCTATAAAATAAAAACTAAACATGAGAAACAAAATAATTTTCAAAAACGCTAAAAATCTTTTATACATTCCTTTCAAAAAACAGAAAGTAATCTAATATAATTTGTGACCAATTCGTAATCACTCTAAATCAAATATCATTTGGTTGTCCAAAGTAGAATCTACTTTTTCAGTTTTAACATCACACTTTATACTAGTATTATTAATTTGAACATTTTTAATCTTCTTCTTCTTTTTCTTATTTAACTTTTTATGAAGTTCTTCCGAATCAAGTTCCTTGTCAGACATGCTACTAGAACTGTTACGCTTTTCTTTCCTTTTAGCCTTTTTACTTTGTTTTTTACTAACCTTACCTGAACTTTGCGACGCTAAAATCTGCGGGCTTGAAACTGGCAATACAGCCGGTGACGATAATACCCGAGCATTACAAACTAAATTATCTGGTTTCGCATCGCTGCTCTCACGCTGCTTTTCAAGTTTAGCTTTTTTTTTCCACTGACGTTTAGACAATTTGTCAAACTCAAAAACAATGGGTTCTTCTGAAAATGTTACTGATTTATATCTACGTCTTTTATAAACGTCCTCTTGAGAGCTAAGTAAGATTTCGTCTGACATTGTCTTTGCACGGGTTCGATTTGTTGACGTTTTTGCAGATTCATAGTCAGTGTCGTCGCTTTTAGATCGCTTTAAAATCGATTTCAATAATGCTTTTCTCTGAACAGCGTCTTCATCAGTTGAACAATCAGACACGTGGCGGGTGTAAAAACGTGTATTCGTTATACAAACCTGATAAGGAGAACACGGTGAAGAGCTTGAAGAGTCGATAACATCGTCATGGAGATCCATCAAACTGATATTGAGATAATCATTATCAATAGTTTCGGAATTCTCTAACACTAAAAAAAAAATAGTTTTACAACAGTACAAAAGTTTATGCATTATTTTGTACTCTTAGAGTTTCATTATTTTGTACTCTTAGAACACACGCAATATTAAAATCATTTTTTTGTAAATATTAATTCATTTTAATACTAACAAAAAGCAACAGAACTTGAAAACAACTGACCCCGGTCTCCCATACATTGAACTTACGCTACAGAGCACAGTCGGCCAGCAAAACCCATAAAAATGAACTTTTTATTTTTATCTAAGAATATTCAACTAATGTGTTACAACAAAAAATCCGGACAAACTTTGTAACTTATGTCTAAGAATGTTTTATAATTTTATAATCATACCTATTATGTTACAAATTTTATCCTCTACAATATACCATAGTCTTTAATTTTTCAGACCCTAATTTTTAATTTTTCAGACCCAGAATTCAGAATTAAGCATGTCTAAAAGATCGGATAATCAAGAGGCACTCCTTAAACGAGCGTACGCTTAAATTTGCAAGTGAACAAAATGTTTATTGTTAATCATTTTCGCATGGAAATGTCCCAAAATCAACCAAGTACGATATATTGCAACGAAACGAGATCAATATAGGACATAAGAACAAAAAGTTGATAGCGGTCGGACTGTAAAAAAAAAAAAATGTCAAAGAAATAGATAAAACGCCAAGGAAAATCGATTGATAAGAAGAACGGTAGCTTAGCCAAAAGATTCAATATTTCTTAGCAGTATATATCCAAAATTACCAACGAAAAGATGAGCATTCGATATCGTAAAAAAACTAAAGCGCCAAAAGAACAATGGCTCAGAAAGCTGCTGTACGTCCTTAGTGTCAAAAACTGATTGCACTTTTCCGGGAAAAATTTGTGATAATTGACAACGAACCGTATTTTCTTTTGTGCATCACAGAGCTTTCTGGCAACGCAGGATATTGTACTTTTGATCCCGACGCAACTCCTAATGAGGTTAAGCTCAAAAGAAAAAGCTTATGAACCAAAATTACGAGTTTGGATAGCCTTGTCAGAGAAAGGGGTCTCAAAGCATTACATCACTCCTTTGGCCAAACAGTCGTAAAGTATGTGAACATTTGCTTTGTTAAATTAAAGAAGTTCATCAACGAGGTTTATAAAAACGACGAAATTATATTCTGGCTCAATCTAGCCTCAGTACACTATTCAAACTAAGTACAAGATTACCTCAAGGCGAATATGTTCCGAGAGACAAAATCCCTGCTTATGTACCCGAATTGCGTACGATCGAGGAATTTTGTACTGAAATTAAAAGATTTATGTATGCAAACAACTGGTAAGCTAAAAATCTCCACCAACTAAGAAACCAAATAGAGTATTGTATGAAAAAAATCGATCAAAATCGCGTACATAGGCTTGTGGCGAGTACCTTTACAAGAGTTAACCGTGTTCGGCGAAATGGACTGATAAACAAATAATTTTTATTTTATTTTGTAAAATACAAAATTTTTGTTAATATGCTTATAAGACTATAAAATTGATAACTCCGTTCAAGAGATATTCATTCTCAAAATGTATTCGGATTTTTACTTAAAACATGTTAGAATGCCCATGGACCAATAAGCCATTTTTTATAAATCTGCTATTTGTTTTTTAAGCTTCAAAGTGCCGTAAAGCATTAGATAAACCATATTCGCGGATTTTTAAAAAATACTGACAAACGACATTCAAAAAATAAACAACTCTAAAAATGATACTTGTTATCTGCCTAGAACTAATTTAAAAACTTGCTCATTAGAATGTTTAAGAAATAACAAAAGATCTAGGAAGAACTTAGGATCCTTTAGGGAGCCATAAAAATGATCTCAATTAAACAAACACAAACATGGACCTATTAACCGCATTTCTCTGCTCCTCAAGTGCTTACTGAAAAGAAGTTTTAATGATAAGTGGGAGTGGCAATTCTAAGGAGATCTCTGCTGCATGATTTATACGTTGCACAAGTTTTTTTTTTTAATTAGCTTTGAAATTTATAATATTTTATATTAACAAGAACTGATGTTAATTAAATAGTCATATTTATTGCTTAAAATAAATACCCGACATTGAAAACTTATATTTTAATACTATAAAAAAATGAGTTCAAAATTTTGATCTTAAAAATAAATTTCCCAGCCTCAAAAACCATGATTCATATTATGTTTATATAAAGGTTCCTCATAGTTTACCTAGATTTTGGTATGTTCTGGCCACTGTGCAATGAAAAGTACAGGTGAGCTGATAATTTATAAAAATCAGTTTATTTTGTCTCAAAGATTTTGTCTCTTCGATTAGAAAAAACACGAATAATAGCTGAAGAGACGTAAAATAGTTTGCATGTCTTCAAATTCGATAGTGTACGCCACACACCTACCCTATTTTTTACGATATGACTTAAGTCAAACTTTTCAAACTTACTTTAAAAATTTTTTTTTTGACCTTTTTATAATAATTTAAAATATATCCTTTGAAGATTCTTATTTATAGTTAATTATTATTCCTCATATGTATAACTTATGTTACACAAAACTTATAATGGTTCTGTTAATTTCTTAAAATTTTATTCTCAAGAAGAAAAATAAAATATATGACTCATGATAAACTGAAATCCTAAGGCTACCTCCATTTCCAGAGTAAAATAATTTAGTTGAAGCCATTATATATATATATATATATATATATATATATATATATATATATATATATATATATATATATATATATATATATATATATATATATATATATATATATATATATATATATATATATATATAGCCTTGCATGGTAGTCAGAAAGTTTTTCCCATAAA